TACGGGACCCCAGAAATCGCGGGTCTCCCTCACCCGCGTCCGGACTACAGCTGCCTTGCAGCATTGTGAAAGAGCTGCACCTAGCGTGGAATCGCACATTTATGCATAACATTAGCGTGGCGTCAGGCCAGGCCTCCCAAACTTGCGGCCCACGGGCAGAGCTGGCCTGCACCCTGTAGTCAGGGCATTGCACCCTCTAGCTTACCTGGGTCTCCCCTACTCCCTGCTGAAGTTTTATGTTGACCTAGTGATTGCAAATCTAGGCCAACCTACCCATTTTTCAGATGGGGCTGGGAAGTGGGGGTTAGTTGTTTCCCACAGTCCCACAGCATATGGCCTTAGAGCTAAAGAGGAACCCAGCTTTTCTTCACCCACTGGTCTCTTCTACCAAATAATTCTGCCTCCTTTTATAAGGAGGCTAAGACAGGAAATTATCTTGCCAGAAGTGGGTCCAGAAAATGGACCCCATAGATATCCACAAATGCAAGATGATTTGGATCAGTAATTAACCAAGAAAAGGATCAAATGGCTTTAGATTTATTCCTGGATGAGGGCAGGACTGTACTAAGGAATTCAAAGAAGAGTGTATAGGAATTCCTTGGAGCCACTGATAGCTTCTCCATCTTTCCCTTGGAGTGGCAAATAAAAGACAAAACTGGGACAGATGGATGGATAGAGCAATCAGCAATTCTGGCATATTTGGTTATAAGTTGTTTTCAGGTCACCTGACTTGTGAGACATTAGAGTGTTGTGTTAGGACTAAAATAGCAATTGCCACTTTCCTTGGATTATTCTCTAGTCAGGTGCTTCTCAGTTGATAGCATATATGATTCCTGTAAAGCACAGATTTTGATTCAGTAGGACTGGTGCAGAACTCAGGCTCCTGCATTTCTGACCAGGGGATGCCAGTGCTGCAGCCCCAGACTCCACCTTGAGAAGCCAGCCAGGCTCTGGGGCCCTTGAGCCTCACTTTAGTCATGAGGACCACTGCTATCAGGGAGCCAAAAGATGGGACTCCAAATGCCACAGACCTGGGCATGGATCCCTGCCCACCCCATAATAGACTACCCACCTAGGACAGACTGCTCATGCTATCTGTGCCTCACTTTCTCCTCTGTTCAGTTGAAACCAAAAAAATGCTTACTTCCTTAGAAGGATGAGGGAGGCAGAATGAATGTGTCACTAATGCTAAGTGCTCTGTAAAGGGAGATTCTTATCGTCCCTTGGTGAGAGTGCTCTTGGGCAGTGAAACCCACAGCAATGTGATAGGAAGGAGGATAGATATAAGATGTCTGGGGTTCAGAGCAAACTCCTTAATGTGGCCTCCCAGGGTATGGTTGCCCAGCCCAGCACACCCCACCCCATAATACTCTCCTGTCTCTGTCCACTCTTCAGCCACACTGGTCACCTGTGAGGGTTTTGGTACTTTCTCCTCTCAGAGGCTGCATGCATGCTGTTCCTCATACTCTAAGCTGGCTGATCCCCTTCTTCAGGCCCAGTTCCCACATCACCTTCTCAGAGATACCCTCCCTGACCCCAAAAGTCTCTGAGGATTTAGGGGGCATATCCTAATAGAAAGAAGGGAGCAGGGGGCATTGCTTTAGGCTGCACCTGCATAGAAAGATCATGTTTTTACTTAGATCCTGAGTCTATTTAAAGCAGTTTTGGGGGGTGGGAGGAGGAGGAACTAAATGTGGCCCCTGGTAGTCGACACAATGCCTTTGTGTGAATTGGAGAAAGGCACAGCCAGGGCAGTGAGCGCAGACCCATCAAGCTCTTGCCTGCCCTCTCAGCTGGCTGCTATTGTGCAGTATACAAACTATACAGACTTACATGCCAGCCCTTGTGCTAATGCTTCCCAAAGCTACCTCGTGACCTACTTAGTCCTCCTGCCTGCATTCAGGTCATTTTGTAAACTTTTAACTCCACAGACCTCATCACAATTGGAAGTAGGTATCTTGGGAAACATTGATTTTACATCTTTCCCTGGCACTAGGCTATGTTTCTTCAAGGCTCAAACTACATCCATCTTGTTCTGGGCTATATGTCACTGGTGCCTACCACAGAGCATCAGAAATATTCCAGGTGCTCATTGTCCACCAGGAAGGATGGAACTATTGCTGGAACCACTGTGGCATGGCACAGAGCTAAGTGAGTGGTTTAGCCCCAGGGAGGAAGGTATTGCTTCTGGCCGAGGTCCTGCGGGGCTGTTCAGGTGGTGTCTTGGCTAGGCCTGACAGGATACGTGACATTCCTTAGACCCTGGGAGTGGGAGAGTGTTCCTGCCAGTGAGAACAGCAAAGGAAAGGTGCCAAAGGATAAAAGTCCAATGAGTTTCTAAGACCAGTCACCAACAGTGATTGGAGCTTGGCCAAATGTGTTTTGGGAGTTTACTGCCAATATGTATTTTACAATCTGGAAATTTCACAGACCCAGATTTCCCAATTCTCTTAAAAAAAAAAAAAAAAAAACTGGAAGCATTCCCTAGGGGGAGTTGACTGGCCCTGAGAGGGGGCCTTCCCTTGAGAAAGTCAGGGCTTGCTCCTGTTTGCCACAATCCCCAACTTGCCTTATGACATCACACCAGCTTTCCTCTCTCATTCTTGTCCTTTCCTGGCCTGGCTTTGGAGCTGGCTGGTGGACTGTCAGGTTAGCACATGGGGTTGTAAGGACGGTTGGTTGCAAGCCTATAGACACCTCCACACCAGACCAAGGAGTTGGCCAGTACCACCCTGAAGGAAAAGGGGAGCCATTGAAGGTCTTTGAGATAGATTCAGGAGAGCTGTGCAGCAGGCTAGCCCCAGAGAGGGCATATGGCTGAGAAGTAACTCAGCTAATTAAGCAACCTGGTAACTGCAGGGATGTCAAGGATCTTCCAGCCCCACAGAGCACAGCCCATGAGCCCCC